TCATAAAAAATTAACTTCCAGTTTTCGGGATCAGAAATTACCGAATTCTTTCAACTAGACCTCTGAACTGGGCTAGCTATTCTTCTAATTCGGCGCCTGTGATCGAACCAGCAATTTTAGTTCCACAGTCCGGTCTCTATTATAAAAATACAAACCCTTAAATCTTCAGTTTCAGGTTCATCGTCAAAATAATTTTGTATTACATTAAAATTAGATAATGCTATTTCCCAAGGAGGATATTCTACTTCTTTAGTCAAATATTGAGTTAAATTTAATGCATCCTTTTAAACGTTATTTTTTAGAATAAAATTTAATTACATACTTCATAAGGTAAATATCCACCTTCGGCTAATTTAAATGAATCATCAATAATACGTACACGGCTAGCCATTAAAAGTTCCTTTTTTAATCATAAATTAATTAATAATTATCAAAAATTACTTTATGATGATTAAATAATTGTTGACTAATTTGTTTCATTTGATCAGAAGAATATAAAACTCTATAAAATCCTTGTGAATGGGGATTTAAAACAAGTAAATCATCAGCAATTGTTTCTAATTCAGTAAAATCTTTTAGCCATAACATTGGTTGATCAGTACCATTAATACTCCACCAAATTGGAATATCCCAATTATTAACTTTTTCATCTTCTCTTATTTCATGTTTCTTATTATTATTATCCTCTGAGTTAAATCGAAAGCGTTGTTGAGTTAACAAAACTTTTTTTGGAGATATTCTTTTTACCTAAAGTAAATAATTTCTAAATTTAAAGTTTTTTAATCTAAAAAATTTGCCTGTACAACAGGAAAACCTGATTGTTCAGTCCAATATTTAGCAAAATATTTAACATTTAAAGGTTGTCCGTTACCATCATGCAGATTTTTAGGAACTGCTTCTGTTAAGGCGTTCCAAAGATCAGTATGGTTAGCATTTTGATATTTAAATTGATTTAGGTATATCTACATAATTTTTTTATTAAAATATGTATTTAGCAGTTATATCAATTAAGCAGGTTTTCTATGTCATTTTTCCACAAAGTATCGTATATGATAATGTAAGATGACTAAATTTCAATAGTCCCTTATCGATTTTATGATATAAGTGATTTGAAGGGATATCATGGATATAAATGAATTTAATATATCCAAATCCCAAATCTAAACCAGTACAATTTAATTTTGACTGGGAGATCTCTTTTTAACTGCCAGATTCTTTCTTAATTATCTTAATTTCTTAAAATCTAGATGAAAAAATGTTCTTTGTAAAAATTATTATTTACTTTTAGACCGCTTTTGAAGCTTTGTTCACCCATCACAGCTCCTATCATTCTTAATATACTTGCACCTTTCTGATATGTTATCGAATCAAAAACTTTAGTAAAATCATCTTTCTTTCGAATCTCAAGGATTATCGGATGAGAAGTTGCCTTAGAATCAGCATTAAAAGCAGTGTCCAAATATCTAATAATGAAATAATCCCTCATTTGAAATTTTCCATTGCTGATTGCATCTGTACCCAAATATTCCTTAGAAAATTCTATTCTAAATTTAAAAATACAAAATTTACAATCAAAGAAGCAAATCCTTCGTTAAGAAATAAATCATCCCACCAACTCATCGTAACTAAATTGCCAAACCATTGATGAGCTAATTCATGCGCAATAATTGAAGTAACAAGCAATTTTTGTTGAATAGTACATAATTCTGGGCTATAGAGAAGATATTTTTCAAGATATGTGACCTGAAATTGTATATGATTTTCTAGAAAAATTTTGATTTCATATATTATTGGTAGAGCTATGGATTTTATGCATTAAAAAATGCAAAATATGCACTATAATATGCATAAAAAATTGCCGAAATATGCACGAAAATATGCAAGAAACCCAAAATATCCGGGCAAATATGCATGAAAAATACAATTTTTTATTAAGATTACTACAAGTTTATATGTTTTGTTCAACAAATTGAGTATTTTTACTCTGTTGGACATTTTTAGATGAGGCGTTTTGCGGTGTGACATTTTGGGGTTGGACATTTTTGGGTCTCGTCCAAAAAACAAAAAAATTTTACAAAATTCTTAATTTTACAAAATTTTTCCAAAATTTCTACAAAATTTTCACTTTTTGGCAGGATTTTAGGCAATTTTGCAATATTTTCCCCAAAAACCTCAAAATATGCAGCAAAATATGCATTATGCAGCAAAGTCTGAAATATACAAAAATATGCATTATATGCAAATAGAAACCCCCTCTGAAGTTTTCAAAACAAGCTAAAACAGTGTTTTTTGTGCTTTATACATGATGCCAAGTTTGCAAAAAAATATGCATTTGCATAAAAATCAAAGCTCTAATTATTGGAGTCAAAAATTAACTCTATATATTATTATTATAAAAATAAATTATAAAGAATTATTAATACCAATCCCCAATTTTCTGTTCCTCCAGCACCCGCATCAGGAACTGCAACCATATCCAATTTAGGAATTGGAAACTCAATTCCAAAGTAATCTTCATAAAATTCCAAAACTTTAATTCCAGATTCTAAAGCATAATTAGTAAAAGTTAAAGCATCTTGACGTGCCCATACACGAAACTAAAAATATTATTATTTTTGAAAAACAATATTAATAAACTCGTATTCCACGTTTTGTATATCCTTCAATATAATTAAAATCAGAGACTACTAAAGCTAACAAATATGAAGACATTGGAGGTGTCTCATCAAAATCAGTTTGAATCCATTCTGCATTGTCTCTACAAAAATTTATTAGATTTCAAAATAAACAAATAATCTCTCTAAGTGAGGCACAGTGCTTCGACACTCGTACCAAAATTCTTACAGTAACCTACTCTCGAGATTTCAGTCGTACTCCACTACTATATGTTAGGATAAAATATGGAAAATATCAAAATAAAATATTCAAGGAAAGGTTAAGTTTTATTATTAGATATTTTTAATTACGTTGGTATTCCATTTCGAAGTTCTTTTGAATTACTAATAGCTTTAGAACCAGAAGGATGAATAATATGGAGTCGATAAATTGCTTTAAATTGTGGTTCATCTAGACAAGGTATCTAAATTTTAACAATTAAACTAGATTATATTATACAAACCATTCTCCTAGCATCAATAGATTCCATATGTGTAACAGCTGCAAATTTATGCTCACCAGAGAATGTGTATTTTGTTAGAAATAGACCAGAGAGTTTTGTGGAAATTGGTCCAGAATATGGAATCTATATAAGAATTATAGTTCTACATAAAGTAAATTTCTTAGGTTAGAGATCTGCTAAATGTTTTTATTTATTTTTTTGAATATTAAATTGAAAAATGTGTTTAAATACAGGACTTGTCACTAATAAATGCAAGGTATTAGTGTAACAAGTACTAATTAACAAAAAATTTCTCAAATATTATTAAAATTACCTGAAACAGGAAGTGTTCACCTCTCTCCAAAATTCCATTTAACTCAAAAAAGACCTAATAAATAGAATTCTTTAAAAATTACATTTAAAATTTAAAAAAATGTACAAAATAAATGCTCTAATACAAGCATTGGGCTTATATTTTCGATGGGTTTCTTCTGTTGTAGGGTCGGACTATATGAGATCATTTACGGTATATATCAAAAGACTATAACTATTAATTTAAGTCAAATTTCAAATTAAAAAATTAGAAAAAAATGATCAAAATTAGTGTATGTCAAATGACAAACTAATTCTATCAATGCTTAAAATTTACAGAAGCTTAAATTTGCATCCGAAATATATACGTAATTAAATTACCTTTTCATTAACTTCATCTATTCTAACTTCAATAACTTTTAATGGTTTTGATTTGATTTCATTATTTACTTCATTTACTCTAATTAATTTATATTTTTCAAGATTTTGATGATCAAAAATAAGTTTTAAAGCATTCAATTCTATTCTATCTATACTTTCTTCAACTCGAAATTTTATAAGTAAATTAGCGTTAAATGTAAGATTGTTTGCGTCAGAAATTTGTGCATCAAAACCGGGGACATAGATCTTCATTGTTAAATTATACCAAATTGGGTAAAGCTATAAAAATTTTCTAATATTAAAAAAATAGAAATACCTCTCCAGAAAGGCGTAATACTTCCGTCGCATTTTCATGTCTAATATTTTCAATAAGCTTTCCTATTTTTGGTAATTTTGTTTCTATAATATTACCATTAATTTATAAACTTTCACTAATATTATTACTGTCAGTAAAAGTACAGGGTGCGGTAAAAGTACAGGGTTCCTTCGGTATAGTTTTCCAAAAAAACATTATTTATAACAAAAAGTGTAAAAAGAATAGCAGCGATCATTAAATTAAAAATTATTAAGAAAATATTTTTCTTTAATTAAAGGAAATTTTTTAAATTTAATAATTATTTAAAGTTGGAATTTGGTTCTGTAAGAGTTTTCAGTATTCGGGAATTATGTATGACCAATTGGTTTGGAACCAGTCATTACCTATCTTATAGATTCTTGAAAGTTATGTTTTTCTGAAACTTTTAAAAAGTGACTTTAACTTTCAAAATTATTTATAGTTAGTTATTTAAAAAAAGGTTATGTAACCGTTATCTAACCCTAAACAAACTTTGAAGCACTAAGAAATTTTAATTTTTAAAATAAATTTAATTTGGACTGACAAATTAATTTCGACTGCTATATAAATATATATTTTATTAATTCCAATATCTTATCTTTGAATAATTTCATTTTTTAAAGAATTTTTTATCATATTATATAGAACAAATAATGTATTTTTTCAATAAACAATAAAATAAACAATAAATTTCTAAGTAATTAAAACATTAGTCACAAATTAAGTAGAAATTTGGGGTTAGTGGTGGAATTTTTATAGAAGACACACCTTTTTATATTTTATAAACCATTCGCTGATATTGTCAAATTTCAAATAAACATAAATAAATGTTAACTTTTATCTATTTTTAAACATGAGTAAGTGTTATAACTTAAAGCGCAACTTAAAGCAAAGCACAAGTAAAGCAAAGCAAAGTAAACTTAAAGCATAACAAAGCACAATCAAAGCAAAGCACAAATAAAATCTACAAAGAAATGACAAATTTTTATATATTTTTGCCTTACACCAAATAACAAATATAAATGAAAATTGACGATTCCGACGCACCTTAAAAATTGCCCAGGCACTTCATTCAATACAGTCAAAAGTTTGATATTTCATTAGCTTTCTTTTAAGAATAATAATTACAAAGTAAATTTGCAGAAAATTTTTTGAATTTTTTCTTTACATTCAACGTCAGAACATTTTAGGTGGTTTTTGTACTTTGCTATCTGTGATAGGGAAATCCCTCAAAAAATAGTAGTTTTCTCGTCTTATCTTAAGAAAACTCTCGACCAAAAAGTATTTATCTGATAGTGGTATGTATTATTTATTATAAACACAAAGTGGAGTGAGTTTTATATAATTAAAATTTATTTACTTATTAAAAATTAGCTGATCTTAAATAATCTTTTAACGAATGAATTTCTTTATTTTCTAAATTTTCCCTTTAAAAATAAATTCTTATAAAATGTCGAATGGCAATGATATATCACTTTATAAAAATAATTCAAATATTCCAAAACTAATAACAATACCAAAGTTACATCAAATGAAGAAGGAAGGTATTCCTATTGTTTCATTAACTGCTTATGATTATTCAATGGGAAAAGAAGTAAATTTAATTAAATAACTAAAAAATATTGTAGGCATCATACCCTATTTCTACAAATTATTAAAAATTTCCTGTATAAGTATTTATCATTTTTTAAATATTAAATAAATAGATGGATCAGGCAGGAGTTGATGTTATCTTAATCGGAGATTCACTTGGTTGTGTTATACAAGGAAAACAAAATACTTTATCCGTTAGCCTTGAAAATATCATTTATCACACAAAAATTGTCTCAAATGGAATTAAAAGAGCTTTATTAGTTGTTGATTTGCCTTTTTCTGTAAGTTTATTTATTCATGTCACAAACGCTGAGTACCAGAGTTTTGCGGACCTGAACATTGCGACCCCAAATTTTCGAACAAAAGTTGCTGACTAGAATTTTTCGGGCATGACTTTGTAAAATTCAAGTCAGCAAGTTTTGTGTCCTCAAAGTTGGATTCGAAAATTTGAACTAAAAAATAAATATTTTAGTGTTCTTATAGTGTTGAAAAAGTCATTGAATCATCTGTTTCTTTACTTACTAACGCTGGGGCAGCAGCAGTTAAATTAGAAATACCTTCGAATTCTGAATTACATTTAAAAATGCTAAGAGAACTTAATTCTTTGTCTATTCCTGTTTTTGCACATATTGGATTAACTCCACAATCTGTACATTCACTTGGTTATTTTATTTAATTATTTAAAGCTCCGTTAAGTAAAAATAATAAATATGTGATCCAATTAATAATATTTATTTATATCACAAATCAAATATACATAGGTGATATACTAATCAACATAAGGGGAAATAATGAATATAATAACAAATAGTCTATCGTATATAGATTCTGGATCTAGGAAAAAATGATAAAATATCAGCATTGTACAACTGATTGAATGTAAGCTTAGAAAGGGATTTATATCAAATGTGGGTGGAACATATTATATCAAAGAATACTAAAAGTAACATGGAAAATTTTAATTGTATAATTCTAAATATTTGGATATGCCTTACAATATTTATTTAATTTAAGGGGGTTATCAAGTTCAAGGAAATTTAAAATCCAAAAGAACTGCAGAAGAATTGTTAGAATTGGCTATTCAGGTAGAAAAATGTGGAGCATCTGCTGTTGTTCTTGAATGTGTTCCTAAGGATTTGGCAAAACATATCACAGATTCATTAAAAATTCCAACAATTGGAATTGGTGCTGGTATTCATTGTGATGGACAGATACTTGTTGTAAATATTTTTTATTTACCGTATTTTCTCTATTAGAATGCCACTCCCCAGTTGAATGCCAGTCTCTAATAGAATGCCACTTTGGAAGGTGATCGAAAAATAGAATGCCACTCTCTAATTGAATGCCAGTCTCTAATAGAATGACACCCTTCTTTAATAATGAAAATTTTCCAAGTATAATAAAATATTTTATCTAAAGCTATTTCTATTGATTTCTTCTTATTTTCTGTTCATTTAGTAATATTATTAAACTAAAATGCGGCAAAAAAAGTAAACAAAATGCGGCAAAATTGCAAATCCGAGATCCCGTAACGGGATTTTCTAAAAGTGTTAAGGATTTTTCCTTAAAATTTTTACGTAGTAGAGACAGTGATAAAGTGAACTTGAGTTAAATCACTGATGTCGTGGGTTGAAGGGATTAAGAAGAATTCAGAGTGATTTCGGGGGATTTGTAGCGATTAATAAGGATATAAGTGGATTCAAAGGAAAAAGAAAATATTGAGAGGTAAAGAGATATCAGTGGATTAGACGGAATTTAGAGAAATATCGGGAATTATAAGGAATAAATAATTCTATATTTGGAAGAGTAGAGGGCATAATAGGAAATCTCCAAATCTTCTTACACTACAAATTACTTGATATCACCCAATCTCTGCTTAATACAACTTAATCATCTAAATCTTTAATATCTCCACCATATCCTCTTAATCAGCAAATCTCGCTTTTCTTCAATCATCGATACCAGCTCTCTTAATACATCAAAATCAAACAAATCCCACTTAACTTCTCAAAATCCTCCTTATCCCTCGAATTTATTAAACCTTAAAAACCATTCTAAAGCAAATATGTAATTTTCGTATTCAAATTAAATTCGATTTTAGCATTTTTCCTATGTCAGGATGAACCTAAATTTTTAGACAAATTGAATTTGCTAGACGAAAATTTTTTATAGTTTCAAAATTCAAACATCGAAAAATAGAATGCCACTCTCCAGTTGAATGCCAGTCTCTAATATAATGCCACTTCCGAAGGTGATTGAAAAATAGAATGCCATGGCATTCTAATAGAGAAAATACGGTAAATCATTTTTCGCTATTATGTCATCTCACTCATTTTATTCTTCTCCTCCTTTCTCTAAAAATAGTACACGTAGGTAAAAATTACATAATATGTACTGTTAAACAGTTATGACGATCTATGGCGATAACCTCATACTTTTTTTGACTTAGGGTAAGTAGGGCTAACAATTCACATAAAGGATGCATAGGAATATTGCGAACACATTCGCATTGCTAATAAATGCAAAAGCTGGTGAGTAACGGACGATATAACTCACTTTGACCCATCTATACTTTTTTGGAGAAGGATAAAGAATAATATAGTGATAACCTCAATCGACAAATTTTTCTTAGGTTTATGATCTTCTTGGAATTGGAGAAAAACCTCCAAAATTTGTCAAAAATTTTTTAAAGGATCAAAATTCTATTCAAAATGCATTTATTTCTTACGTTAAAGAGGTACGTGAAAGAACTTTTCCTGAAGAAAAACATTCTTATCATTAAAATATAATTTATTGACTCTCGTTGTTAGTTAACTCTCATTAAAAATTTCCTTGATAAATATAACATTTTATTTGTTTTAGCATTTAATTTACTACAAGTTTAAATAAAAATACATAGTTTTAACAGGAAAAATAAAAAATTTTTCATTTAATTTGTTTGTTAAAACTATTTAATGTATGTAGGAATTATTTTGTGTTCTCCGAACAAATTAATGTTGTAATTTGCGAAAAATAAATTGAAATTAAAGAATTACTTTAAAAAAATTTATTTTTAAACTTTTTGTTATTTTTGCTTGGTTATTCTCAATTTTAAATTAATAATTTAATTATGTCTTGTAAGATTAAAATATGTCTTTGAATATAAGTAAACCTTCAATCCCCGAAAATCTTGGAAATCTTCGTTAAAATTTTCGCAAACAAAATTCTTAAATTATATATTTGTCGATAAATTTGTAATAACCTAATTATTTCTTTGCTTTATTTTTTGCAGTTTTTTAAAATTTTTAAATAAATAATTCTAGTATTATTTAAACAAATATTTAAAATAATTATTAATTAATGATCAGTGTATTTTACATTTTTAAATTATTATTATTTAATATCCTTTTAATATCTTTACTTTCAATAATTTTAATTGTTCGAGCTACAATTTCAAAAGATTTTTCAAACTTTTTAATCAGAGAATATGGGGAGGAAGTAGAAAAGTTAATTGCTAGAAGAGATTTAGGTTTTGGTGGAAGTTTTGGGGGTGACCAAGAGAATGAAGGAAATAAGTTAATTTATCGTTGTAAATTTCTAAAGTTATCATGATTAGGTGCAATATTCCATGGTTCCAATTATTATATTGGATATATCTATAAACCTTGGAATGATTAGGAATCGTATAAGCCGGGAAAACAAATCAAAGAGGAAAAACGATCAGTCCTGTTGGGATGGTGAGAGTTTGATAGCTTAGCATACAAGAGCTTTCAGGATCTATTCTAATCCGCATAGCTACTTTTTATGAAACGTTTGACCAATTTACTATAATTGAAATAATTTTAAAAAATTTATCACAAAAAATTAAATTATAGACGTATATCAAATAGACGGCCAATAATCTTCGTTCATGGATTAACAAACGTTGCGGAACATACGAATATATTAGACGTTATTTCCTCACAAAGGGATATAATAATTCTGAACTTTATGCAACGACATATTCCTATGGTGTTAAAAGATTTCTTAAAGATAAGATGGAGTGCAGACATATAATCCAGGTTAGCATTATTAATCAACCCATTTTCCTAAATTTACACGTATAAACAAAATACTTTATCCGCTCAAATAATTACCTTTGTTATTATTGTTTCATCATCGGAATATTCTCCCTTTATTTACCAAAATGTTTTGGAAAATATATTTGGATTCCGGTACGGGTATAACCATAATTAAGCAAAAACTAATAATATAGATGGTATAACCATAATATAGACACGAAATATCATTTTAAGATTCGTCTTCTGATGGAAGCAGTTTCTCGGTATAAAAATTCTAAAATTGACGTTGTAGCTTTTAGTATGGGATCACCTATGGCAAGAAAAGTAATTATTAAATATTGACAGAAAACATTATTAAATTTTCATTTACATAAAAAGGCAATACTTGGTGGAATTTGTGTCGATACAGGACAATATTTAGGACAACCTTTGACTAGTTTAGTCCATACATTTATTGGAGTTGCTGGTGCTAATAGAGATGCAGAGCCTTTATGTAAATTATTATCTTGGACACAACCTTGTAATCAAATAAATGGAATTTCTTGTAATTCTGCATTTCTGAGAGATATTAATTCAGTGTAAATATTTAAATTATTCTATGTAGTACACGTGGGAACGTGGGCACGCACACCTTTTTAGCTATAACTTCTCTTCTTTTGAACGTAAATTGATAATTCATTTTTTCCTGGATACCCCACATTTTAAAAATTTTTCAATAGCAAGAAATATTATAATAAATTAATTCTAAAAAATATTTAGTGTAGGTTATGAGGCATTTTCACGAATCTCTGTAATTCGTTCTGTAGATGATACAATTGTTGGTAATATTGCATGTGACGGACAGTCTGTAAGTTCAATTAATGGACAAAATGATGAAATTGTGGTTAATATTAACTAATTAAAAATTTTTTTATTAATTTAGTTGAAGGGTTACTCTCATCCAATGATAATTTATGGAACTCAGGATATTATTTATAGAATAATTCAAGGATTGAAGAATTAGATTTAAAATTAAAAATTCTGTCTTATATTATGATCTCAATTATAAAAAATTATTTTATTTAATAGTGTAAGGCACTTGAGTGCCATCCACCTCCAAACTCCTAACTCACTCTCACCAACAACAATCCCTCTATTATTTCCACATATTACTTCCATAATATATTGTTCCTTCACCTTTAATCTTTCTTCATCCCTTCCCACCAATTATACATTCACCTCTTCACATGTTTTCCCAGATTGTTCACCTTTTTACATTTTATTTGTATTTATCCAACCACGCACCTTCCCATTAATGATTGTACAACTCCATTCAACTACACAACCAACCCTGGTAGAGAAGTAAAATTTTCATTTGAAGATTAATTTTAATTGGGAAGTTGTTGAAAGGAATGAATGCTTGAGAGCTTATGTCTAAAATCCTCCCGAGATTTTTTTAGAAATAAGTAATTTTTTGATTTTTTTTCTAATATACATATGTACATATCTTATTAGAAATCGTTTAGACAAATAAAATCAGAAAATAATTAATGGCCTGTGGCCAAGAAAGAAGAAATCACTCTTCATGGCCTCACAAAGCTTTTAGAATTTTGTTACTTTTAAAAATAATATTTAAATTTTATTTTTTCAAAAAATTTTCCCATATTTTTTATATTCAAAAAAATATTTTTTGAAATAAAATAAATATTCTCATAGTTTTTTCATCATTTAGACTTTTTAAAATAATTTTCGATGAAAACATTGAGAAAAACATAATAATTAAATGTTAAAATGACCTTGCCAAATTACTTTTTTTCATTCATTATTCAAATGCTTATTACTTTAAAATGACTTTAAAATGGTATTTTGACTTGACAATTAAAAATAAATAAATTTTTAAATAATTTTGTTTATTTATTAGAGACCGGATCGAGACAACATTTCAAATAAAAATCTCAGTTATCTAAATCAATGTTTTTCTAGATATCTTGAAAAAATTTTCCGCGTTTTGCCAAGATCGTTAATACTAAATTTAGTTTATCTTGCTTTATATCTTGAACATTTTTTGCTGCTTGCATTACTAAAAAAATTTTGAGTTTTTTTTTCCGAGATATCCCGTACACTCCCTTTTTCAGCAACTATTTAATATTTATTTGAAATTAATTAAATTAGAAAAATTAAAATGTTGGTTTCAATTATTTTCTTTCATTTAGTATTATTTCAACTCATTTTTATAGAAGCAATACCAAATCCACTTAGCTGTAAGTTTATAATTATTAATCTGAGGGAGAAGCGCTGACTTGGAGTTTCCTCAGCTATTTTAATTAATTAATAATTAATTTTTAAATTTAAGATTTTAAACTTGCTTATTATGAATGGCGCTTTTTTCGTTTTCCGATGGAAAGCGAATACTATTCTTTAAATATTCTTGAGAGTCATTATGTAAATTTATTAAATAATCAGTCAACAGATATTTTTAAATTGAAATTACAAATAACAATTATTTCACATGCCTTTATGTTAAACAATGTTAAGAGAAATTTAGATAATTTGGAGGAAAAAACTGGGTAATATTAAATAAAATTTGAGAGATATGTATGTCGATCAGCGTCGATCAGCCTTTGTCGGCGAAACGACCCTTTATTATTCCCGACTAGTCGCTGCTTATATGTAATTATAAAATATTTGTAATTTTCTAAATTTTTTAGGTTTTTACTATCTGGTTTCGCGTAACAGGGTTCATTTTTAGTATATTTTTAAATATCAGATTTGGTTTAGTATCGGATCTCCTGTACAGACATTTTCCCATTGTTCTTGTTTTGAGTTATCATTAAGAATACTAATTTTGGTACGAGCATAAAGCATTTGTTATGAGAGTAGTTACCCCCCCCCAAAAGGTTGCACAGGTGTGCAACCTTTTGGAGGCGGAAGTTGGCAACATCAAAGGGAAACCCAAGGGTATAGGGGGTTTCAGGCGGTAGGATCAAGGGAAACCAAAGGGTGTGGGGCAATTACTCACCCCATTTGTCCGAGTTTGTCGGCATGATCAAAGGGAAACCAGGGGGTTTGGGGTAATTACTCATACCACTTGTCCGAGCTGTCAATTTTGATTGATTGACAAGGTACAAGATAAGTGACAGGTTTTGATTGATAGGTACAAATGTTTGATGATAATTACAAGGTACCCCCCAAAATGTTGCACAACGTGCAACATTTTGGTGGGTACCAAAACGTTGCACGCTGTGCAACATTTTGGTGGCTGAAGCCGCAATCAAAGGAAACCAAAAGGATTTGGGGACAATTTTAGTTGACTTGGAGTGGAAAATTTGATTGTCGGGTACAAGTACAAGGTACTTGTACCTTGTACTTGTACAAGGTACAAATGTTTGATTGATAAGTGACACGTGATTAATTTGATTGATTAACTGTACAGGGTTTCAGTCCCAGACTAAAGTCTGGGACTGAAACCTGGAATTTCAGTCTGGGACTGAATCCTGAAATTTCAGTCTGGGACTGAAAAAAAGTTGGGGGCAGGGGTCCGGGGTACAATAGAATTAAAAATAATAAAATTAATAAAAATAAATTAAATAAAAAATATTAATTAAATAATAATAAATGGGGAGAAATAAAATTTACAAAAATTTAAGAAAAAATTAAAATGATTTGCAAAAAAGGGCGGAAGTCAGAATGTAAGGGGGCGTTAACCAATTATTTCAAATTCTCAAGATCTTATCTAATTGATCGATGATTAATGAGTCTGGGACTGAAATATTTGGGTTGGGAATTTCAGTCTGTGACTGAAAATTTGCTGGGGCAGGGGTCCGGGGTACTGTAGAATTAAAAATAATAAAAAAATATTAATTAAATAAAATCACAAAATTTTACAAAAAATTAAAATGATTTGCAAAAAAGGGCGGAAGTCAGAATGTAAGGGGTTTTGTCTCAAGATCTTATCTGATTGGTTGATGATTAATGAGTTTTTGAGGCATCAAATTTTGAAACCGACAGAGTTTGGATAATTTAAAATGACCTTGAAGGTTACGAAATAAGGAAAAGGTTTATTAAAAAATATTTTCTTTTTATCTCAAGATCTTTCTGATTGATTAATGATTAATGAGTTTTTGAGTCGACAAATTTTGAGCCGCCAAAAATATTTGGTAACATATGACCTTCAATTTTATGAAATATGAAAAAATGGATCTTAATTTAAATTTTTCTTTTTATCTCGAGATCTTATCTGACAGACGGATGATTAATGAGTTTTAAATGGAACAAATTTTACCAGTTCCGCATCACATGACCTTGACAAAAATATTTCGTAATCGCCCATCCGTCTGAAACGAGGAGTATAAAAGGCGAGGTTTTTTGTCATTCTTAACCATTCATTCAAAAAAACGAAAAACCTCTCGACAATTAAATAAATTAAAAACTTTAAAATGGCATTTAATAACGGTCAAAACGCACCTTCCTCCAACAAGCGCGCAAGATTCCTCATCCGCGATCTCCTTCCCCATTTATTCAATGACGAACAAAACGGCGCGGGCGTAAATAACCCGAAAAATTATTATCGACAAATCGACTACGAAACAACATTTAATAGAAAATTCGCATTGATGGGGACATCTGGAAAGTTTATTATTGAAAAATTATC